CACGCCCCCACCAGGAGAGGCTGGCCTGCCCAGGGCCTCAGTAGGGCTGGCTGAGTGGCAGGACCAGGGCAGGGTTGTGTTTGGCCGGCAGGTGCTGAGCACCCCACGCTCCATCCCAGCACACCTCACGCCCCTAAACCTCCCGCCTGGCTGGCGTGGGTGTGACCGGGACCCAGGCCCGCTGGGGAAGCTGTGGGGTGGCCAGGCCGGGCGTGGGGATCTCGATCCTCTCTGCAGGATCTGGTGCTTACGTGGGCCACGACGCTGTCTCCCCGCAGACGAGGGCAAGCGCGTGGTGCACATCTTCAAGTCGCAGAGCGGGGGCGCCCTCATCCTGCACTGCTCGGGCGAGCTCCAGGGGCAGGAGGTCCACATGGCCAAGCTCCTGGGTGAGTTCCTGCCCGCAGCGGCCAGCCAGCCTGCGAGCACCCCTTCGCTCCTCGGCCTTCTCTGTCTTTCCTTCTCTTAGGAGAAGCCACTGGGCCAGTAGGTGGTGTGGTGGTTAAGGTGGCTGGATCCCACACGGCAGACTGCACAGTTCGAATACCCCGGCGGCTTGAGAAACACGCCGGGTGTGCATGCGGGCGTGCCCAGAATCCCAAGGGGGGACTGTGGTGTGGCCATCTCCCTGGGTGGTGATCTCTCATTTTCCCTCTCTGTCTCTGTCAGGCGAGTGCACGAGCCCTATGGCAAAGCAGAGGGGACCCGTTGGGGTGTGAGGTCACAACGGAGCCCCGAGGGCCTGTCTCAGTGCCGGCCAGCTAGGACTCAGAGCGCGGGACTGGGTCTCTGGTCCTGCAGTTCAAGGCCACGGAAGAGCAGCTGAGGCTCAGGGGTGCAGCTGTTTTGGGGTCAGAGGGTGGGCCAGGCCCTCGGGGACAGCCCTGTACAGTGCCAACCACAAGCACTGTTTGGGGGTGTGTCGCTGGGGAGGAGAGTATGGCCAGGGACCCCCAGTTCCCATGGGCCTGGCAGAGCCTGCGCCTCCATGCTCTGGGTCTGAAGGCATGAAGCCCCCGAGTCTTCCATGGCCCTCAGTGCCCACCGAGGGTGTCCAGGGGTTCTGTGGAGCGTGGGGTGCATCCGTTTGCCTAGTTCTGCTGCCCTGGGCTCCCCAGATGCCCGTCACCCCGTTCTACCTTTCCTCCCAGCAGAGGGCCTGTGACTTTGAGCCCCCATGGGAGGGTGGGCTCTTCACCGCCCAGCAGCTCGGCGTCCTCAGGCTGCCGTGTAGACGTGTCCCCCCGCCCCGGGTCTGCCTCTCACACCGTCTCGGTCTGGTCTCACCACAGAGAGGGACTTGGACAACGACCAGGAAGCATTTGAGGAGTTTAAGAAGAGCCTGAGTTCCAGCGGACTCGACGCGGAGAAGATTTTCTTCCCCAACCAAAGGGGTAGGAAGGCTCTATGTGCTTGTCCACCCCGTCCGGGGACATCTGTGGTGGCACTCGCCCCGTCCCGGGGACGTCCGTGGTGGCACTCGTGGGCACCCTGGCCCTGCCCTGGCTCGGTCCTCCCTGGGTCACCTGAAGTGCTGTCTGAGTGACGGGGGCCCCACCGGAAGTCCCGGGACTTCTCAATAGCGCATTTCCCATTTTCTGCAGAAACCTGCTCTCTGGGACAGTAGGGTGAGTGACCAGTGTTGGAGGACGCTCTGGAGATCCAGGCCTGGGGTCCACCCAGACTTCCAGAGGCCGAGTGGTCTGCCCCGCCTACCCTGCCCCTCCCTGGGCGGCACCAGGTGGGCGCAGAGCTGCTCGGGGGCCCGCCCGCTGCGGGCGCGGCTGCGGGGCTGAGTCTGGGATGTGAGCCAGGCCGTCAGGACCCCCGGTGCTGAGCCCTCACGGCGGTGCGGGGCAGACCACGTCTGTGTCTGGACCCCCTGCACCCTGGGGCTAGCCTGCCGGCCGCGGGCCCCGCCTCGCAGTCCCCATGATTGTGTACTCTGTGTACCCTGAGCTACGTGGGGGACTCAGAAGTGGCGGCCAGCAGGCCTGAGGTCCCCAGATTTCTGGGCCCTCGTTGGAAACTAGAGGTTCAGAGACTTGCCCAAGGCCATGGCCCATGTGGACAGTCAGGACCCAGAACAGCACCACCAGACCCCTACCCTCCCCATGGACGGAGGGCCCCTGTCCTCACTCCATACATGGCCAGGAGCTTGGCAGATAGCCCGTGGAGAGGCCCTGTCCATCTGCTCCCATCTGGTGACCAGAGGCCCCACCCTGCAGCACTCCAGCCTCCCTCTCGCCACCCCTCTCCTCTCTAGGTTGGGGGCACGGCGACTCCCCAGCAGCCTCTGGGGGCTCCCTGGAAACTCCGTCCTGCCTGCATGGAAAGAGCCCCGTTCTGGGCTGGCCAGTCCCCCTGTGTCCTGCCTGCCCCGCCCCCGCCCCATGTCACATAAAGAACCTCAGCAGTCATGAGTCTCTGCCATGTCTGGGTCCTCGGGTGGGAGCGCCGGGGCTGGGGAAGGAGGGACAGCAGGACCGTGCGTGCCCTAAGGGTGGGGGTGGGGCGTACAGCCCGAGGGTCCTGGGGACCTGCTCTCTGAAGGTCTCCCACATAGCCCAGGACTTGGGTGCGAGGCGTGGGGGTCAGTCCTGGTGTAGGGCTGCACAGGGGAGGCTTGTCCGCCCGGGACTGTTCTGCCCCACTGGGGACTGGACAGAGTCCTTGGCACCATCTGTCTAGGCAGGCTGGACATGCCAGGTGGGGGTACGGCAGCTCAGGGCAGGGAGTGACGAAAGCTTGAGCTGGCCACCTCCCCAGACCCGTCGTTGGGGAGCCACCCCAGCCTGCTCCCACTCTGGGCAGACCATCCATGGGGCGGCTTGCCCAGATGGCTGTCCTGGGATCCGGGATGACGGGGCCAGTGCATGGGTGCTGGGAGTGACCCAGGCAGGCTCCTGGCCATCGCAGCCCAGAGGTAGGCGAGTACGGGCGGGCGCCCTCCGGGCACAGAGGGCAGGCTGGCTGGGTGAAGGGTCCTGAGTGCTTCAGGGCACAGGCTGCCCCCCAGTGCAGCCCCTGGCCATGGGGCACCCCAGGAGGGCAGCAGCTGGTGGAAAGCTCAGGAAGAGGCTTGGCCCTGGGCGAAGCTACAGAGCGGGACCCGGCCGTGTTTGGAGAACCCACCCCCTCGGCACTGCTGTCCACGTCTCAGGGAGGTGTCCTGGGACTAGTCTGCAGCACAGTGGCTGGAGCTGTCAGCCGGAGCCTGATGGCAGCCCTGCGGTTCGAATCCTGGCCTCAGCAGCTGAGCTGCGCCTGTCCCAACTCCCGACAGGGTGGAGAAAGGGAGAAGAAATTGGGGCCCACTGGAGGGTGCTTTCTCCCTCTCATTCTCTCTCTCTCTTTATTTTCATAAATTAAAAAAAATGCTCAGAAAAATAAATATTCTTTTAAAAAAAGAGTGGGTCTTGGGGTCAGCAGGTGGCATGGTGGTTAAGGTGCTGACCGCAATTTGAACCCCAGACCTGGCGGTTTGCTTTCTCACTTTCTCTCTCTCTCTGTCTCTCTCGTCAAATTAAAATAATAATAATAATAACAAATAAAGTTAAATAAATAATTCTTAAAAAAAAAAAAACCCACCTGGATCTTGGTTCTCACCGGGCACCTGAGGCTGCAGCCCAACTCCGCAGCCACCAGCCAGCTTCCAGGCCACCTGTCACTGGTGGACGGTGGTGCTGGCATCGGCGTCTTGGCACGAGTCACACTGGCGCCTGCGGGACCCTGCTTGTCCCCAGGCAGGAGGGCAGCCTGCAGCATTAGTGAGAGCTCTCGGGGCCGGGCTGTGGGCAGCCATCTCCACACGCCCGAGCAGTGCCCTCCTCGCCAGCCACGACCTGCCGCCATCTCACTCTGCCTCCCGGGCACCTCCTGAGCTAGTCAGGCCCTGTCTTTGGGGGATGCACAGACTCAGACCCCTGAGCTGGACATTGTCCCAGAGAGAATGGCCCCAATCCAAAGCCGCTGCCCTCGGGCCCAGCTGCCAGCGCTCCCTGCCTGCAGAGCCGTGCCCAGAGGGTGCTCTAGGAGGGGAGGTGAGCCCAGGGAGCCCAGCACGGGGCTGTCACCATCGGAGCTAGTGGCCAAGCCCTGCCCCTCGCTTCCTCTCTCTGCCCTGCTTGAGGGGATGGAACCCAAATGAAGGCTGGCTGTGGGTCGCAGTGACACCCTGATTGCACCGTCATGGGACTGTAGGCGGTCGGACCCGACACCACGCTGGTTCTGGGCGGAGCTCACGAAGAGATGGGGTGGGGTCAGCAGGCAAAGCTCAGTGGGGGGCGGAAACAGCTTCAGTGCGGTGGGAGGGACCCCCACGGCTGCAAGGGGGTGCTGGGCGAGGGCTGTCAGCCCGGGGGGACTCGCACAGGCGTTTCCCTCGTGGGGCCACGCGGCAGGTGATACGTCAGCCTCTCTGGAACACTCAGGCCTCCGTCAGGGTCAGCAGGTCTCTGCGAGCGCCCCGACGCCCCCTCTACCGCGAGTCTGCACGTCTGAGACAAGTGCTGTTCTCGGCGTGTCCCCTCAGACAAGCTCGTGTGCACGGTTGAGCTGCAGGGACGAGCTGACCCGTGGGCCCAGGGCTCGACGACAGCTCACGGCCAGCCATCGCTCCAGGGCCTTCGTCCTCTGGCTCTCCAGACCGAGAGACGGCACTGCGCCAGCAACGTCCGGGGCATGCCAGGCGTCTCATGTGTTGTGGCCTCGTGGCCTCGGGCAGGCCGTGAGCAGCCACTGCACGGACCCAGGAGGAGAGTGAGCCACGGGTTCAGGTGACGGCAGTGACGGCCCTACTCACAGGTGGCCAGAGCAGCTCCACCAGCTGGCTCCATCTCACGGGTCTGCACACGCCGTACGTGTGTGTGCCCACCTCCTACCTCAACGCGTCTGCTCGGTGGGAGCGTGCACACACGCGGCCATGCCCTCGGCCCAGCTCTCCCAGCACGGGTGGCACGCCCTCGCCCGCACCCACCACGAACACCGCAGGGAAGGCTGTCGTACCCGGGGAAGGAGACCGAGAGGAGGCAGTGTGTTCCCGTCTACACACAGACCTAGCAGGTCGGGGCTCGCGGGTCTCCCCGCACGTCCAACCACGGCGTGGCCTTGCCCAGCCCGAAGGACGCCTCTCGGCTCTGAACTGCAGGGCTGCTGCCGCGGCGCCCACCGCTCTCCTTCCCCACCGCG